AATTTTATGACCAGCACCTGTAAATATGTTGAACTATGTTTCTTTTAACAGAGCAAAAGAAGGAAATCCTTTTTACCTTGACAACAGAGTGTTTCTCTGGGGTTGTTTCTTTGAATTCCTTCACAATAAAGCGCACAGATGATTTCTGTTCCTTAGAAACACTTTTCATGTGGAAATAAAATAAAAAATCCATTTGGAACCATAAACAGGGCGCAGAAGACAAACCGTTTGCGTCACGGCTGTGATTATGACTGTGAGAGACCGCCCGCAGCTGCCGTTCCAGTCAGCTTGAATTTTTTAGTTTTATTTTTCTCCTCTCCTCTTCTTTCTGCTTTGATGGATGAAATGACATCACTGAAATGCAGCTTGGCGCATTTCTGTTGCACAGCACAGCAGATCTTAATATTCACACATAAAAAGAGACAAACACTGATTTAAAAAAAAAAACAATTTTACTGAAAATGCCTTCAGTTGTTCCACTTGTGAAGTGAATGAGGTGAGATTCGGCTGAATTCATACATTTTTAGGTGCGAAAGCAGAACAAACCAGCGATACATCCATTAAGTTTTGGACATCTTGGTGAATCGCTTCATCAGAAGAAACACAAGCAGTGAGAAATAAATTAAATGTCATATTTTTACATTGTGTTTGCTGTTATTTTTGTTTTTTCCTTTCATGTTAAGACAGTCGTTTTCTGGCTGAATGGTAAATGATTAATAGAAGCTTATTATGGGGTGGAAGTGGCTGTAATTGACTCCAGCTGATTAACTTGACCTCTGTGTTTAATACGGTGTTTAATGACGCCATTTATTCTGATTTTTTTGGTTTCTCAGTCTGGAGAAGTCTGGAAGTTAATTCAGGTATTTTCCAGGTGTGGAGAGGTTTGAGTAAAGAAAATGTACAAAGAAGAATATTTATATTTCCAGATTTTATTTAATTTCAATCTGTCTTAAAGTGCCTCCCTTCCTTGCTTCTCTTCTTTATTGGTGCCGTTCTTTCTTTCTTCATTTTCTTCTTTGTCCCTTTCTTTCTTTCCTTCCTTCTAGCTCTTTCCTTCATTTCTTGAGCTCTTGTTTCTTTCTCTCATTGTATTTCTTTACTTTATTTTGCCTTTCCTTTCTGTCCTGCAGCCCTATTTCATTGATAACTTTGTTTGTTGTTGCTACCTTCTGTCATTCCTTCTTTTCTTCCTTAAAATCTTGTCATTTATTGCTGTTCGTGTTCTTTCCTTGCCTTCTTTTATTTGGTGTGCTATTTCATCCTCTCTTTTTATTTCCTGTGTGTTTTTCAAGGTTTGGTTTATGAAACCCAGTAGAAACGTGTCAGAAATGTATAATGAGTATTTATATTAGAATGTAAAGAACTGCAAACTCTGGAGAGTCGAGTCTGTAATTTTACATAAAACATTTTTAGTATTCTCCCTACAGAACAGCTTCCTCTGTAGGTGTGTGGTTTTATCTTTGAATTATCACTGTACTGTAAAAGATTTAAAATGTTTTTTGTTGTTGAGAAAGTCTTTCTTGCAACTCCTGCTAAGAGAATATGGATTCGATCCTCCAAAGAAATACATGGAGCAGCTGAACATTCAGGCTTTGGAAAAAATGCATCAAAAAATGTATGCAGCAAATTAATAGTGGATTTTTACCTTTTTTACCAAACTGTACTGGAACTCTAGCGCAGTTCAATACATATTATGTGAATGAAGGTGGACTACAACGCAAGGCATTCTGGGTAAATACAACCAAAACAAACAAGAGTCGAATGCTAGCGGGAGAGCTAGCCGGTGGTCTTTTAAATAAGACAGCAAAAGGAAATCCAACAATAAAGCTACTCCATTTTTGTTTCCATTTCGTTTAGAAGGAAGTTGCACTCAGCGTCTTCTAAAGAAAATATGGATTTAGAACCGCCACTGTTTGTCTTTACATTACTGGAACGCAAGTGTTAGCTTATGGCTCCAACGGTACGTCAACGCAGCGTTTCGTGAATACGGTGGAATTTAAAACCTACAATACAACATAAATGTACTAAAAGCATTAAAAATAAATAAAACTGATTGGCAACAGAGGTGAACCAATTACAAAGACGAACATCATCCACCCATCTAGCAGTAAGTTTGCACTTACCCATCACGGGAGTAAAAAAAAGCTGGTTATATAGCTAGCAATGCTATATTGACCTCTAGTGATACCTGCAACGGCTTCAAAGGGACAGGATTACAAGGGCATATTAAAGACATTGTAGGTAGAATTTTTTTTACATTTCTCTGAAATTTAAAGAGAATTCTCTCAGATTTTTTTTTGTTATTAAAAACAAGTACATTTGTGATCTCCAAAAGTTTAAAATTGTTGAGAAACGAGTTTCAAAAGTCTTTTCTTACCTTTCTCTTTGGAAAGGTAATAATTTATGTAGGACAGAAATGTACTAAAAATGCAAATAAATAAATCGTATGGTACAAACAAAAATCGCCCACCCATCTGGGGGTAAATCTGTGCTAATCAATGATGGGCGTAAAAAAAAAAGCTAGCTAGCAACCGCCTCACATAGACATAATATATTATGTCTATGCCGCCTCAGGTCTGTGATGACTGAAACTTTTGTGTAACAGTAAAGTCCCGCGAGAAAAAAAGTAGAATATACCAGATTAAAAAGGCTACCACAACAAAACCCAAAGCTTGTGATTAGCACATTTAAAGCCAACTTATTCTTTTAAGTAAATTTAAGAAAAAATCTGGTCTCGTACCGCCACTGTTTGCTGGAACACAAAGCGTGAGCTCATCTCTCCGACGGTACGTGAACGCGACGCTGCTCCCATCGTTCGTGAATGCAGCATAAACTGTTGAGGTGATCCATGGCAACAAGAGGAGCAGCAACCAACCGCCGAGCCCGTCTTTCGCTCTCTCTCCAACTCTCTCCCATTGTCCCCTCCGGTCTCCGCTCCGCTCTGTCCGGTAAATGTAGCCGGAATGCTTCGGGGAGGAATTACTCCTAACGGCTGCCGCTGAGAAACGGTACCAAGGTGACCGACTGGGAGGGAGGCAGCTCGCCCGCCACCCGGAGAACCGGAGCTCCACATCAGCGCCAGGTGCCCGCACTACGACCCGCTGATAACGGACGGAAACGATGCTAGTAGCTGGTACCTTCTGGGGTTGAATCAGTAAAATTTGACCCTTTAGTTCATTATTAACGGGAAGCGGGCAAAATGAAAGCGGTTTGTGTGTCAGAAAGGCTTGATATTTTTGATTAACTCTTGCGGTGCCTCGCTGAAACACGCTGTCCCAGCTCTGTGCGTCTCTGCACCGTCTCGCCCCCCGTCCAGTTAACCATCGCTGCCCTTATCTTACTCGAGCATCATCGTGAAGATGGCGACTGGGTCGGGCTGGCAGCAGTATTACTGCCCTACCGGTCAGGGGAAATTTACTCCATTATCCACCGCCTCCTTCCAGTCCGGAGTCGCCATGGAATATACCCAGGACCTACACCTGAGGATGAGCAAGAAGATCGCACAGCTAACCAAGGTAAGCAGAATTCTTCCACCGGACTCCATTAGAATTTCCTCACATTTAACAGGAAATATTTAAATATTGAACAAAACAAATAGATGCAAGAAAATTATGACTTCCCACTGGATTTCAGGTATGTTCTAGTACATTCGGGGTCTGTTATGATTAAATATAACTTTGCAAGTCAATTTGTATGAAATTAAATCTGAAAGTTTCTAGTTTAAGACAAACTTGTCAAATATTTAAAAGGGAAATACTTAAATGTTCATTAATTTAAAAGTTTTAATCTATTAAAACATATCTTGGATTATTATTTACTTTGTTGGTAGTTAATTACATTTACTCGAGTAACTTAAAAAAGTTAGAAGTATCCTATGCTGTACTTTTACGCGAGTAAATTTATTTTTGAAGTATCGCTCTGCTTGAGTAAAATTTCTGGTTTCTCTACCCTCTGAATGGAAAAGCAAACATGTTTTAACACAGACACACACCTGCAGTTTTTGTTAAAGTTTCATAAGTTTCTTATTGAAAGAAACTGATTTGGAAAAATGTTCTTTTGCCTCATTATTTTTTGTTATATGAATTATTGTCATTTTGGTCCTTAAAATTCCAAAATTTTCTCTTGTCTTCAAATTTTTTTCTGTCTGATGTAACTTTTAAAAATCAAATGATTGATAATTTGATCAGTTACTCAGTACTTTCTACCAAATACTTTTTTACTCTTGAGTAATTTCTTAGATGGTCACTTTATACTTTAGCTTGAGTAAAAATATGTTGAAGTAGTCCTACTCTTATTTGAGTACAGTTTTGGGTACTCTATCCACTTGTGATTATGACCTAATTTTGGTTTGACTTCTACAAGGTTTAAATAATAAATGTGCCTATTTAAAATTCCTGCCTTGTTGTAGCTGCTTCTGCACACCTGAACCCAATGAATGGGCCATTAGAAAAGCCTCTGGAGTTAATGAACTCATTTGACTCAGGTGTGCTGAGGCTGCTGCACGATGAGGACAAACACTTCTACAGGTGCAGCTCATTAATTTTGAATATCATTATAACAAAGTTAATTTAGTTCAGTAACTCTAGATTCATGACATGTGGAGTGATAGTTTAAAATGTTTTTCAGAGTTACTGCTTATGACTGAGACTTACAGCTATGAAAATCTAAATTTTAGATCACCTGCATCTTTTGTATCATTATAATTTAATACAGAAGAGTATAGTTAATGGTACTGCTTTATCCTTGTTGCTCCATTTTCCTTTTGATGATACTCTGATGAATTCTCTGTGGGGTTTCCACCAAACACAGTCATGCTATGATCATTAAATCAGATGTTTATACTTTTGACAGTGTGGTCTTTTTTCCTTCGACTTAACTTTCCACTAATAAGCTTGGATATTGCAGTTTACGTTCAGCAGTAGTTTTTAGCATTGATATTTTGTGGCTTAGTGGAGGCTCAGCAGCCTTCTTCATGATTGTGGAGAGTAAATAAATATTCTTGTCTTATTATTTAAGCTTTCTAAGTAACACAATTTTGTGTTTTCCTTCGCTGAAAGCTATAATCATCAAAATGAGTAAAAATGAACACTTGGAATATATACAACTCTGTTTCTAATTAGTATATGTTCACGTTTTGCACCAAGTTACTAAAATAAACCAAGCTTTTGTTGATATTCTAATTTATAACGACTCAACTAGAGATGGACTGAATAGGAAAAAAATCACGTTTCTAATTTTTATCCTTTTGTAGTCAAATGTTTCTTTTCATCACAGTTTTCCCACTTGGAATAGTTCAAACTACTGTATAGTTGCTATTTATTGACGTATATGTCTAAAATCCAAAATAAAGTGAATATCCAGAGCAACGTTGCATGGAAAGCTGTGGGTATTGTGTATTAGATTTTGGAGCTTGTTCTGAGGGATTTGTTTTTAGCCAGATGGCTGGGATGATCTACTTGTGGGCTTTCACTGGCATTTCAAATGGATATGAAACAATCTTTTGCCCTGAGGATCACAGCTCTCATCCAGCTCTTAGCAAAATGAAAACGTCTAACAAAGTGTAGCGATCGCTCTGGAAGATTCAGTCCTGCTAAGGCACGTTTGGGCCCCCAGTCTGTCATTATGGAGCCTTAAATGTTTGTCAGGTGGCTTTTCTGTGATCTAAAGTGTGTGTTAGGGAGGATCCAATGCTGACTCTCAACATAAATCTGTGCTTTTTGCAGGGTTTGCAAGAGCTAGCATGTTGGAGTAGCTCCGTTACGTTAGCTTGGGTTTGTTCTTTTTGTCAACTTTTGTTTTTTAGTTGAGCCGTTGCATGTTTTGACGATTACTCCAAATATGCAAAAATGCTATACAGTTTTGTTCCTAATTTTTTTGCTTTGGTACCGTTGCTATGATGAGTAACCGTGATGACAAAGCATTGTTTTTAGAACCAGACCAGCTAATTAGCACCTTGAAAGCTCAATTAATACCTGAAGTAGAAGTTGAAAAGGAGGCTTTATGGATGCAAAGCAGAGAAAAAAGGAGGAAGTTCAAACCATCTCGTGCATAACGGGCAAGAGTGATCTCCCCTACTCTAACATCCTTCTAACTGTACAGACAGAAATTCAAAGAGGCGCGTACAAACGACTGATGTTACTGTGAAACATCATCTCTGTTAGCATGTCATAGCATTTATGAGCCTCTGCGAGACTGACTGCTACAAAGCATCACATCCACAACGACTCTTTAGAGACACTTGGATTATATGAGCTCCCTTTGAGATAAATAAAATGTTTTTGAATTGAATTGTATATAAAAAAGTTTTTTAAATTGTGTAATTTATGATTCATTTTGTTCTCACAATTTTAGCTTTTGCAATTATAACCAACTTTCCAAGCATTCAGCTGTATCAAATAGTAACATAATGAAAAAACTTCTTAAAAATAAGTCGAGGTGCAAAGAAATCCTCATCTTTCAAGAATTAAAATAGTTTTAAAGCAAAACTATACTTAAAGCTGCCAGCCAGAGCTGTCTGAGATCAGGGAAAGTCTCTTTAGATTTAGTTTTTCATCATTATAGCAACGTATTTGGACAGCTTTTCCTATTTTGTTAATCATTTCTTCTTTTTTTCACACAATTTATTCCTTCATAACTTTTATTGATTTTATTCCACACATATGAAACATGAAAATGTTTGAAGTGCGTAAGAAAGCACTGCAGATATTTTAGGAAGATTTGCTAACAATAAATGCATAGATGTGAAGGATAGCACTTAAAATTGCCATATTTCCAGTGAAAAATAAGGGGGAAAAGTGTGGAATAAACTCATTGCTTGGCAGTCAGAGAGAGAAAAATCGGTTGAGTAAGCTTCAGTAAGCATACAGTCTCACTCTACTGGCAACTCACTTAACTACTGAAGGTGATGCAAGCAGAATATGAAATTTACTCATTTCTAGATGGTAAATATACACAGAAAAAAACCAGAAGGAAAATATCAACAGTTTTGGACCAGTTAAAGCGTTAAAAATGACTATTGTTCTCCACAAGCGTTTCCATCATCATTTGGAGGTCAAACATGAAAGATTGAACCCATTTTAGTTGAAATTAAGGCTGCAGCATACAGAGACTATGGAAAGTATTCGCCAGAATTATCATCCTTTTAAATCCCTTGCAACGGAACAAAATTAGTAGTTTAAAAATGGCTGACAAGACAAAACTGAATCACATAAAGTTTGTATGACGTTGTTGTTTCTGGGAACTGGAACAACAGTAGATGGTATTTTCATGAGGCAGGCTGCACACATTCCCACCGGCGACACGTCTGCGCCTCGCCTCTCTCCAGCGTCGTGTTGAGCGAGGCCACAACAACAAAGCTGGGGAATCGGCCGGCAGCGTTCAGGCCATCTGCTGCTCACACTGACCGCTGATCTCCGCTGAGCGGGAGAGGCGTTCAGGAATAAATATCAACCTTGAAACCTCACCGATCCGCCTCCCCAACCCCCTGACATCCCAGGCTGAGAGATTTCCAGCTGCAGAGGACAAACCCACAAGGACCGGAATGTTGGGGAAATCACAATATTTTGTAGTATCATGATAACAATAAAGATTATGATAAAATAACTATTTATTATTAATTTTTTGGGTAATAAATGGGTTTCTTCAGGATGCCATTAAAAAGTGTGATTTATATCACTGAAGTACACACTGTAGCTGCATTTAGTCATAGTTTTGAATTTACTGATACTTATTGATGCGAAAAGTGGAGAAAATTGCCAATAAATAACATTTCTGATCACACAAACTTAATATCAGTAACAATAAATCAAAATTCTTGCCATGAGAATTTTGTATGACAAATGAGTGGGCATCTTTATCTCAATGTATTGTTTTTTCAGCAGTTAGCCATTTCTTTATCTAGTCCGTATACTCAAGTTAACGATTTATCAGGTACTTAATTAGTTGATTATTTCAGTAATTGATTGATCCGATTATTTGTTTTTGTTTGATCTCGTATTTGGACCAACCAGCCTCCTCGTTTAATATTTCTACAAACCATTTCCTGCCTATTTTATCATCTTTTTGACATGATTTTAAACAGAAAGACGGTTTCCATCTCAGAGCTCCTGACGTATCGTCTCTATAGGCGTTTCATGCATAGGGAGTGAGTGGGTCATTGATTGCAGCTCTCCAGCGGCTCTGAACCTCATGATTTGTGATGAAGGGCCTGTTGGCCACCGCCGTTATTTAAGACTCCTCGCAGTAATCTTTAATCCCACAAAGCAGTTCTCATCGCCTTATTGTTCAGCCTCTGTTCAGTTTTCTTTCTTCCTTTTGAAGGCTTTATTTTGTGAGTTTTTATTTCTGTTCGAAAAGGTTGGATTTATTGTTAAGGAGGCAGCGCAGAGGCTTTGCTGCCATGGCAACGTGTTTTATATAAATTATAGTTCAGAGCTCTTGCGTGTAGCTGTTGTCAGACCTGAGGTTTGGGAAGTCCAATGCAACATGTCTGCTTACTTCATCAAGACAATGATGT